CGATAAGAGAGCACCAAAAAAGGGTTGCCAACAATCTCCCCGCTACAGCCAACACGGATTACTATCAAATGAACGACTATATGCAAATTAAGTCCAACTAGAATTAGATCAAAGATGGGTCAACGTGGGACATCAATTCCACTTTGAGAAAATCAATTTGTAACCCTTTGTAATGCAAACTTGAGTAATCATTCATTGGAATCAGAGCAAAACTCTGATTTACGAATTCTAGATTAGGAGTCTTGCTGGTGTTGTTGCGTCATCACCATCATCATCATCATCATCATCACCATCATCATCATCATCAGGTTATCATCAAAGGTGCTCATCATCAATACCATCATCATCCTTTTGTCATTACAGGGCGCTGTGCATCATCATCATCATGATCATCATCATCATCATCGTTATCATCAAATCATCATCATTAGTGATGCTCGCCATCACCACCTTCATCATCGTCATCATCAAATCATCATCACTGGCGATGCTCACCATCACCACCATCATCATCCTGTTGTCATCACAGGGCGCTGTGCGTCAGCATCGTCAGCATCATCAGCATCAGCATCATCAGCATCACTCGTCATTAATCGTTTGCACAGCAGGAGAGTTGGTCATTACCATCATCCTAATCATCATCATCTTCAGGGAACTGTTCACCGTCATCAACAAAATCCCAAAAGAAAAACCCATCTACCTTTTCCCCATCACGATTTTCGTTTTCCTTTTTCCACTATTAATTTCTAATTCCCCTTTGGGCACACTAATGAATTATCTTTGAGCGGGTGGGGGGTTGGGGCTTTAAGGAGGAGAGCTCTACTCTGCAGGGGCTTCACAAGGCAGGGGGTGAATGCCCTGGAGGGAGGGGGGCCAGATTTTGGGGGATGCCCTATTCTGGGGCTGGGAGAGATGTATGGGGTGACATCATATCCCAGCGGAGGCAGTTTGGGGTAAGGGGCTGGCTGAGGCATACTTTGGGTGGGATGCCTTAGTGGAAGATGGGGGAGGAAGCAGGTATGTCCCAAGTTGGGGCCGATACGGGAAGTTTGTGATCAGGGCAGCCCTTTTCGGCGGAGGCAGCGGAGGGACAGGGGGAGATGGAGGAAAAGGGGGGGATATAATCCACAGAAATGTCCAAATTTAGGATACTCCTCTTACACATAAACAAATTGTATCTGGTGGGGTGGTGGGCTGGTTCTGAGGGGGAGAGCTCCACTCTGCAAGGGCTTCACAAGGAGGGAGGTGATTGCCTTGAAGGGAGATGGGGCAGATTTTGGGGGGATGCTCTATTCTGGGACTGGGGGAGATGTATGGGGCGGCATCATACCACAGCGGAGGCAGACAAGGGCAAGGGGTGGCAGAGGCATTCTTTGGGTGGGAACTGGATGCCTTGGTGGGAGTAGAGGGGAAATGGGTTTGTCCCAAGTTGGGGCCGATGAGGAGTGCCCGTGATCAGGGGCGGTCCTTTTTGGTGGAGGCAGCGGTGGGGCAGGGAGATGAGGGGGACAGGGGGGTATCTCTATACTTCGTGATTTTTCTGAGTCCTCAAAACAAGCACCCTTGTTATTCCTGGTAGTTTGAAGAATCTCTCGGGACTCTGAGGGTTTGCTAGCGGTTTGTACGAATCTACACTGGAATCAGACTGTTATCTTCAGGATCCGTAGCTGTTCAACGCCAGAACGACGCTGGTCAGAGCCGGGGTGATGCCCTGTAACTTGCCGAAGGCGAGGGCATGAGGCCTTGTAGAGATCTGGGGATGCTATGCAGGGGCATCCTAAAGGACAGTTGGGGGTTGCTGACACAGGACGACACTGGCCGGAGCTGGAGTGAGTCGCGCCGCTCTGTAACCTACCAGAAATGGGGCATGAGGCCTAGATGAGTTTGTCAGAGAATAAGTCGGTTTTAGTGAGTATTGTTATGATCTGTTGGAAATCCCTTAGACACTCGAGTGTTTGGAAAACTGCGGTGGATTTCAGGAGGTGTTCAGTGATATTAAAAGGAGGCCAGGATTGCCGATATAGCATAGTCTTCTATATGTTTTCTTACTAATCATCATCATCATCATCATCATCATCATCATCATCATCATCATACGAGGGACGCTGAGCCCGGTTCTCAGCATCTTCCGTTCGGTCACTCCGGGTAGACTGTGAGGACTCCGGCCTCAAGCTTCTTGTTGATAATATCAGCCTTGGCCATTGGGCCCGTCTTTGAAAAAAAAAAAA